GTGATCCAGTGGAATTATTTTCATTTGTTCAAGTAATAATATACGGTAGCTACTTTTATTATCACAGCGTTCATTTGGCGCGAGTGTTTTTCTCACTAGAGCTGAGGAGCCAACATTCCTAAGCCATGAGAGCTCAGAGCTGGGGAAGCGGTGGATGTGAATTAAGGGGCTGGGTCAGGACACCAGCTGGAGCAGCCATCTGGGCAGCAGGAAAATCCCACCAGCCTGATACATCGGATGCATCAAAGCGTTCAGGGAAGTCATCTTGGCCTCCTACCATAGGCCTGGATGCCACCTGAGCCCCAAGGATGGGGGGGGGGGGCGGTGCTGAAAGGGATGGGCTAGGGAAAGGTAGGGAGGGCTTCTACAGTAAACTTCACCCGGCTCTCTTTTTCATCTTAGTTTTGTACAGGGTGCTGGGGAAGGCTAGGAGTATGAGATAAGCGAGATAAAAGGGACAGGATGGAAAAAAAAATAACGCGACAAGTCAGGAACTTGAAAAAAGGGGGTGATGAGGATTTGAATAATCGAAATCTGATGACAAGAGAGCAAAACCCAATGTATAAACCACCATCATGCACATTTATACAAATATGTCATAGGAGACTCAGACACTAGGAAAGGCTGGATTCCTAAATTGGGCACATTCTAGAACGGAGGATATGAGTGAATGCCCTCAGAGTTTCTGGCCAGAATCGCTCAGTTCCTCCTCCTTCCCCTCCTCTTCCCCCACCCTCTGCCCCAAGATTTGATTCCCTTTCTAGAGTTTGCAAACCACACATGAAACCCCCCTCCTAACCACCATCCAGATTAGAAATGAATTCTCCTGGAAATCAACAGGGCGGTTACTCTCCAGGGACATACAAAGTTAGAACAGAGGGGAAAGCGGTAGGTGGAGAGGGGACTATTAAGGACAGAAGAGGGGGAGACTGCCAGTTTCTGATACAAACGGCCTCTCACTTCACTTCCTGGCCCATCTTCTATGATCTCCTTTTCTATTTTTTTTAATCTACTTATATAACTAGGTAATATATGAACATGGTTTAAGGGGGAAAACAAATACAAAACGATATGCCATGGAAGTTAAGCCTCCTTCTCACTGTCGTCTTGAAGCCACCTCTTTCCTCCGCAGAGACAGCCACTGCCACCAGTTCCTTGCACACAGTTCCAGGAAGAGCCTGTGTCCCTGGGTGTGTGCACATGCTGGTATCACTTTTTTTTTTTTAATCACACAAACAGGAGCATACTATACATACTGTTTGGAACCTTGTTTCTTCACTTAACAATATATCTTTCAGACCATTTCAAGTCAATATACAAAGAGGTTTCTTATAGTATTCCACTGTGTGAATGTACCTAATTGAGATAGCCACTCCTCCTAATTGACTCTTGGGCTGTTTCAGTGTTTTACTGTTATAAATAATGCGGGAGGAATGTATCCATAAGATATATTCCTAGAAGCGGAATTACTGATTAAAGCTATAATCATTTTTTTTAATTCTAATAGGTATTGTCAAACTGCTCTTTATAGAGTTTATAACAATTTACACAATAACAGACATTAAAGGAGAATTCCTAGTCTCAGCGCCCTCACCAATGAAAGCATGTTATCAAACATTGTTCCCTTTGTAATCCAACAATTAAAAATGGTATCTCACAGCTATCGCTTACATTTCTCTTATTAGGCATAGTATCTTATGTTTAAATGCTATTTGTATTTATTTTTCTGCGAATTGTCTGTTCATAAACATCCATTTTTTTCAGTGAGTTAAGGGTTCTGAATATGTTATAGTAACAAAATGTCTTCTCTGCTGCAAATATATTACAAGATACAATGCATTGGAAATTATTTTTTATCCCGTCTGCTATTTATATTTTTATTTTGTTTAAGGGTTTTAAAATATTTTCCAGGCAGAGTCAAATTTATTTGTTTTGGGGTTTTTTATGGCTTCTACTTTTTTGTGTGTGCCCTATTTAGAAAGACCTTCCTGACTTTTTTTTTTTAATTTCTGGATTTTTAAGGTTCTCTTTTGTACATTTAAATTTTTGCTTCTTTTGGAATTTGTTTTAATGTAAGAAATTAAGTCATACATCAAACTATTATTGCTATTGTTATAGTTATTATTACCAACACCACGTTTTCTCCAGTGATTTGAGTGCCATTTTTATTTTCTATTCATTTCAGATCCATTTTTATTTCATGCGTGTTTGGGTTTACTTCCTGACTTTCTATTTTGTTCATTGACCTGCACCAAACTTTTAATCAGTGTAGCTTTATCTCTATTTAACTTTTATAATCAATCCTGGGTCTATTTTCTCCTAGCATTGTTGCTGCAAAGCTTTGCCCATCAACAATGTTAGATCCTGTAGCTGACTCCACAGCCCATGCACTGGTAAAAGAACCCGTGGTCCCAAGAAGCCCTGAAGACTGCAGTTCCGGAGCCAGCCTCCGCCTCTGCTCGCCCTAGCTCTGCGTTCTCTCATGCAAGCTCACTGCCTCCCTATCATTCAGGCAATGATTGGAGAGCGTAATTGCTAAATTGTTCAATAATCCACAACAAGTTTCGCAGAAATGGTGATCCAGGATAAGACACAGTCTTTTAAGACTTTTAATGGACAGTAGTTCATGATTCAGTTGGAAAAGAATAATTATAGTAATAACAATTACTTTTTATCTTACTATGTGCCAGGCATTAGATCAAGGACTTCCCATGCGTTATTTCAATCAATGCTCACTCCGATTCTATGGCTTAATTATTCTTACTGCTCTCACTTTACAAATGAGGGAACTGAGGCTTAGTAGGTTAAATAATTTGCCCAAGTTCACATAGCTAAGTAAGAGGGGAATCATCATCAGTCTAACCTCAAAGCTGTTGCTCAAATTCGCTCTTTACCTACTTTGATTCGTTTATTTTTCCTATCTTTGCAATATTCCTTCCTTCCTTCCTTCCACAAACACTGGTTGAGCACCCATAACCAGGGAAAGGAAAGCTTATAAAAACTCCCTAGATGGTACCAAGGAACCAGTTGATGGTGGCTGGTGAAAGCTTCCACATTCATAACTAACATCATGTGAAATTGCTTTGTAAACACTCAAGTAGGTGCGTGAGGGGGGAGAGGGAAATGCATTCAGCAGTAGCTCACTCCCATCCTGCATCAAAAGAGCCAGCCACACGGGGTTATCTGTCTATTTCAGTATTGCCCCTGTTCAGTCATCATTCATTCAGCATCACGTACTTAACAAGGCACAACCCTTGTCTCAAGGAACTTGGAATCTATTCGGGAAGAAGAACCTGTCACACCTGGTTTTAAAAGCTGTCTGAGAGGTGAACTCAAAGTCCTGGGGCGTCTGGGAGCCCTGGTGAGCCAGCTTATCACCTTCCGTTCATAACAGGAACAGGTTCTCATCATGCCCACAGCTGGCCAGGTCAGGGAGCTCCTAGTACAATTCCTCTACAGAAGGTTGAACAACACCTCTGGCACAGCCAGTGTCAGCCATTGAGTGGGGTTTATTCGTTTGCTTTGTTTTGCTTGTTTGTTTTTATAGCTGATGGCCTCAGTCAGCAGGAAGGAGTCAGAAATTATACTCCACTTACTTTTCTCTGTTTCATTCTTTATTTTTTAAAGTCTAGATCCCAGGTCTCCTGACTCCCATCTTGCTCTCTTTCTCCAAACTCCTCGGAGCACCTCCCGGTCAAAAGCACAGAAATCCCTCCAGCCTCCCTCAGGGCAGGAACCAAGGCAGGCTTGGGAAGGAAAGGGCCCTTTTTCTAGGAATCAAGGCGGACTTGGGTGATTTATTGGGACTGAACTTCTTGATGTGTGACAGGAAGTCCAGCACTCATTTTCTGAACAGGTGGTCCACCCAGCGTCCTCTACCAAGTTAGCGATTTATCATTGGCCACAGACTCCATGGCACCACCTGTCACTCAGGGAAGCAGGTTCTTTTCCCCATAAAAATTGCTGCTCCTCACCATCTCTGTTCCTGCACTTCCCTGGAGAAGTATGACTGTCTAGGAGCTACCGGACATGTTCTGGGTCAAAGTCAAAATCTCTTTTTAAGGGATAACAAACTTGGATCTTAAACTGGGAAAGACAGAGTGAGGCAACACAAATGGAAAGGGTTACCATAGCAACACAAGTGAAAAAGGTAACAGTTACCATAGCAACACAAGTGGAAAGAGTTACCATAGCAACACAAGTGGAAAGAGTTACCATTTACCATATTCAACAGAAGGACTGAGAAGGGCTTAGGAGGTCATCTGTCTTCACCCCGCCATTAACCACTCCCCACAACATTTTGCAGAAAAGGAACCTAGGCTGAAAAAGGAGGAGCCTGCTCAGGGTTACACAACTAGGAAGTGGAAAAGCCACTAACTAGAACCCCACACTCCTAATCCTGCTCCACTAGACTACCTCTCACCGTGGACCTGGGAAGACAGCCTATTCTGTTCTTTTCTGGCCCTTTTCCTGAAAGGAATAAATGATTGCTTAGGTGCTTAGTAGAAAGTGCCTTGAACCGAAAGTCAGGAGACTTATCCCATGTGACACACACCAGAAACATATATGTTTCTGGGCCTTGGCTTCCTCATTGTAAAGGAGGGAAGGTGAGAGGGGCCATGAGAGTTCTGAAGTCTCTTCCTGTTCGAACCTTTCATAATTCTGTTAACCTAGGATGGCTTCCATTTCACAGGAGTTGTCTTACAAAGGGGAAGGGAAGGGCACCCAGCAGAGGGGCCTGCTGTGCCTCATTTATAATTGAGCCTCTGCTGTTTGTCCATTCTTTCACAGCCCAGCTTCCAAGAGGAATGCAAGTTCAGAGAAACCCTCCTGCCTAACAATTACAACGCCTATGAGTCAGACCTGCACCGAGGGACCTACATCGCACTGAGCAAATATGGACGGGTAAAGCGGGGCAGCAAGGTGTCCCCAATCATGACTGTCACTCACTTCCTCCCCAGGATATAAGAGCCCCGAAACAAGGCTCACAGGTTGACAGCGACGTCTTTTCTATGGGGATTTTGCACAAGTGAACAATTCCCCTCATCCCCATGACTCCTGAGTCAGGCTTCTCTCACGCTCAGGGAGACCTGAGTTGGTTTCATTGGCCACCAGACCCCATGACATGTAACCCATCCAAGTGAGGGGTTGCAGCCAGCATTCTAGAATGGCAATGGAGCCCATGCTCTGACCTCGCCTGAGGAAAGAAGGTGCAGGTGATACTTGTAGAATGTGACCTTGTGCACAGGAAAAGCCCAGGGTGGAAGGATGTGTGTGTTGATGTATAGCCATACATCTTTGTATGTACTGTCAGAGCAAAGGCATTTCAGAGCATCAGGTTTTTTTCCGCCAGGATCATCGCTGCAGGCATGTGGCTGCAAGAATGTCACTTGTCAAACCAGCAGGATTGATGTGTACTCCCAGTCTGCCTCCTTCCAATCATCTTTCCATTCAGAGGCTGCTGGCTGCACGGGTTACATGGGTGGCAGGGAACAGCTGTCCTCTAAGTACAGAGAGGGCAGGGTGAGCGGGAGTAAGATTTACTGCAAACCAGAAAGAAAGTGAGCAGGCACTCCAACCTTCCTGCCTGCGAGGGCTCTGGGGACACTGAGGTGCATTGTCAGGGTAGCTGCGGGGAGAAGTGATACCCTTCTTGGAGGAAAGGGGCAGAGCAGTGTCTTGGGCGGTTGGAGAAGGCCTGCAGGAAGCAGCGGGAAGGACTGGATGTTCTATGGAGAGCCGTTCTTCTTGAAGGATTCGATGCTGTGTGTGGCTCCAAGAACAAGCGAGGCCAGGCTGCCTGCCCATAACTTTTCCTCACTGTGAACTAGGTCTTATTTTAACCTCAGATGACAAGGATCCTAATAATGGCAACCTCTTTGGCGAGGGGTGTAGGGGTGCAAAATAGGGCATGAAGGAAGTAGAGAGGCTTTAGATGCCAGATGATAATTCCTCTCCAGCTATGTCCAGGAAACTCACCCAAGTTCTCATCTGATACTTGCACTTCCTTCTCGGTCGTCCTCATCTCACATCCACACTGGTGCTTGCTTGCAATAGAATGGGCACCATGATGTCCGGAGCTCACCCCTTCTGACCCCCTACAGTAGGAGAAGAACGACCTATCCTGTGAAATCAAGCAGCCAAGCTGAAGCAGTTCCTTGCTGTACAATGTCTCTTAGCCTCCTGTCCTTTGAGAACATTTAAATCAGAGGTTCCCCAAGTGACTATAAATGTTATCTGCCTGGAGCCTTCAAATTCCTGAACCATTGGAACGTTCCTAAATCTGAAACGAGAGCAAGCCAGGTCGGAGTACAAACATTTTCGGCATACGTGAACCATCGAGTTACAATATGACCCGACACCCTCGGCTCCTTTCAGGGGCCCCTGCCTGCAAGACAACCCCTCATCTGCTGCAAATGCCTTCATCTTTGGCATACCTCTCTACATGCAGATGTGCCCATCTATAGATAGCTCTGATTTGAACGAGTGTGAGCTGTGATGGAGGTTGACAATCCCGGGGAGAGGCACCATACTGGCCACCTCCTGTGACCAGCATACATCAAGGAGGACCTCTGCTGGGTGAGGAGGAAAAGTCCACACCAAGGTGAGTGAAGATTGAACAGGCAGTAGGGCTCAGAAGCAACAGTGGACATGGCCACGCCTTGGATAGAAACTGGAAGAAACTTGAAGGAGCTATGGTCCCAGATCAAGGAGAAAAGGAGAGAAAATTGGTCCATCTTGACTGTTTGGGATATTTCAAGTGCAGGTTTGCTTGGAGGCAGGGGACAAAGCTGATTGTTTTTTCTGGAGGTTTGGTCCAGAGTAACCTGTCTCTATAACAGAGTTCATCAGAAACTGATACTCTCAGAACTTGAGGTGTGTACCAGCTTCTGATGGAATGTGCCGGGGGTGTAGGAAGGCTGGGTGAATGGATGGACTGTGATCTGGAGAGGAGAAAAATGTTTTAGGTCCCAAAGCATTAGTTCCTTCCTGCCTAGATCTTTGAGCTAAGAGGGGTCTCAGGCTGCTAGATATTTCCTGCAGCTCTCCAGTGGTTCATAAAAGTGCTCAAATCCTGACAAGATGTTCCCCCAAATGTCCTCTCCTGTTTTTCATGCTGGGAGAAAGAGAAGCTATGAAATGCCGAGGATCAAGCAGGCTTGATATTCAGCCACCACACAGCGGTACCAGCGCACGAATTGTCTATGACTAGAAGCAGTTATGAGCAGCTGTGCGTCTGTTCTAACTGGTACCAGGACCACGCTGTACTAAGTGTTAAGGATTCTGAATATACCCTCTGGATGTAGGGATGCATCCTTGACTCTTTGAAATCCTTCCCATACAAAGGAATTTTCCCAAGGGCTTTATCACAAGTGGCTTAGGCGTAAGAAAAACCGATCTCCATGCCCAGAAGTGGGTTAAAAGGCAGGAACAGGGTAAGATCAGCAAGGGGCTTCTGAGTCCCTTCTCTCCTGCTACTGTGTATGTGCACAGGTGTGCAGAGTCATCACCTATCTGATCATCATCTCTACTGAGTCCTGAACTCAGCTGACAGCCCCCATTGGATCCAAAAGGCTGCAGAAGGTGTGGCATAGGCAGAATACAAGAGTGACCCCCCACCTTCTTGCTGAGGATGTACTGAGAATGATTTGGGTCTTCCCTCTCCCAAATCCTTAGCTATGGCCCTGCTTTAGAGACTTTTGTAGCTCATTGGCCTCTCTTCTATCCTGTACCTTCCTTGGCAGCTTCATGCGAACTTGAGGTTCCAGGAGCCCTGAGCCTGTCTCACTCCCTCTTCAAGAGCAAATGATAAAGACAGTGACATACTGTACCCCTTTGAAGACAGACTTCTCAGCTGGGAAGAGGTTAGCTCAAAAACCATGGGAGAGCTCCAGGCCCATGTAAAATCTGCACCCTCCTCAGGGTAATGGGTGGATTTCAGAGGAAACCAGAAAGCTCCAACTGCCTTCTTCAAGCTGTTGATTATTCGTTCATCATTTGCTGCTTTCTAATACCACTTCCCTTCCCACTTCATCTTTGAACCTCCATCAGAAAGCAGCATATAATTTTGCAATTATCACCCTAACATCATCCTTCACAGGCTTCCTCCTCTGCCATCACATCCAACAACACCTCCAACACACACACACTCCAATCCACTGGTCAGAGCAATTCTATGGCTTAAGAAAGAGAATATTTTCTCTGTCATCTGATCCAGCTTACAAACCTCCCTCCTTGTTAGACACCTAGGTTTCTCCCCAGGTCAATAGCTCAGGCCTGACATTCTCTCCCAACCCCAATCCTGTCTTGGGCAGTTTGGAATTCTCCTGCCCATGCTGGCTCTGGGCCTCTGCCCTGTCCTAGGCCTCGGGTCCTTCAAGTTCTCATGTATGCAAGTCCCGAGGAAGAAAGAAGTACAAAAGTCCACGAGCTAGAGTTCTCCTGCCTCCCTGTGCTGGACATCCATTGCCAATGCCACAGCCACTGGTGCAGACATATTTACCACATGCACCCACTGACCTCCAAGACACTAGGATATTCTCTCTGCCCTCTCTCCCCTTCTGACCCCTTTCATGTACACACACACATGAGTAAACTCCTGCATCTTTCTATTACAATGCTTTCCCCCAAAGGCTCTGGGTTCGTTATCACTGAGGAGGTATTCTCTGCCACTTGCCATTCCTGTGCCCACAAAATATGAAGGTCTGACAATTAAGTTCACGAGCTTTGTTGCAATGCTGTTGCTAACCTTTTTTATATCAGAGGGATTATTCAGTATGAATTTGTACCAATTGGACAAACAGTTAACCAAGTTTACTGTTTGGAAGTGCTGAAAAGTCTGCATGAAAAAGTTAAACAACCTGAACTTTTTGCCAACAATGCATCGTTCTTGCATCACGACAATGCACCAGCTCACACAGCACTGTCTGTGAGAGGAGTTTTAGCTAGTAAACAAATAACTTTATTGGAACACCCTCCCTACTCACCTGATCTGGCCCCCAATGACTTCTTTCTTTACCTGAAGATAAAGAAAATATTGAAAGGAAGACATTTTGATGACATTCAGGACATCAAGGGTAATGCGACGACAGCTCTGATGGCCATTCCAGAAAAAAAAATTCCAAAATTGCTTTGAAGGGTATACTAGACCCTGGAGTCAATGCATAGCTTCCCAAGGGGAGTACTTTGAAGGTGACCCTAGTGATATTCATCAGTGAGGTATGGAGCACTTTTTCTAGGAGGCGTCCGCGAACTTCATTGTCAGACCACATAGGTCTCTAATATTTGTCCCCTCTCCTCCCACCAAAGAACCAGCCACTCATTCTGCTACCTTCCAGGAAAACTCCAAAAGTAGGAACATCTGGAACAAGGCCAGAGAATAAACAGAAATACTCCAGCCTACACTTGCACCTGAGTTGGATTCCTCTTCCGTGAACAGGAGGGAGTGATTACGCCCAAAACAGACCCCCAAATTTAGTCCATCATGCAGATAGCCAACACAGAACCATGTTTGTATACCTCATGAACTACTGAAATTCCAGCATTCAGACAGCTGTGTCCCACGTGATTTTCCCTTTCTAGACTCAGGCTGGGTCCCAGTGTACAGCTGTCCTAAAACTTGGGTCTAGCGAGTAGGAAGACTCAGAATTTGTTCAGTCATGTGCTTGTAAAATGTGATGCTTCTATTTTTTTTAAATATGTATGTGCTATGCACAAACCATATCATGTTCCAGCAAAAAGTAAAAGGTCTTTTTATACGTTCCTCTAAAGTGTTTGACTCCGCCCCTCCTATTAAAACTGACAATGAATACCTGAGTTGTGGTTGATTTTCATTTGATTCTTTTCCACCTCTCAAGGAGACAGCAGAGGGAAACAGCATAGACTCATGGTGCTGTCACTATTAGTGATTCACAGCACTGTGGATAATTAAGGCAGGAAGAAACCAATAGGTTACTTAGTCCAACCACTGTGTTTTGGAAATGGGGAATTTGGCCCAGAATGGGGAAGGAAGTTACCGTAGACCGTAGACTGCAGTGAGG